TGAAAAAAGGCATAGCCTAAAGAGAATAAAATTTCAATTTTTTTAGAGCATATAAAATTTGTTAATTTGATTATTTCAAATATATTATTATATTAATTAGAATTAAAAAAATACTATACCAATTTTTTAATGCACATATTAACATGATAAGACTGAATTTTTATTAAATTATATGATTTAAATTAAGATGTAAATTAATTTATATAATATATCAATAAAAATATAAACTAATATGTAAGGGTAAAATGGTAAATTGATTATTACTATCCCTCCCCTCCCCTTCTTGAACCAAACAAGGGATCATTAAATATCCCTGCCTCCCTTCTTTTTTGATCAAACCAAACAAGGTGAGGATGAAACCTCCCCTCCCCTTCCCTACCCTACCATCCCCTCCCTCTCCTACCCTCCCCTCAAACCAAACAGGGCCTAAGAGAACTTGCCTCTTATAACTCTACTCATGAAAACACTACAAGGTTGATCAATCTATTGACACAGTCGAGTATTCTCACGAGAATATGAGGATGCAAGTAAGGCTTACACAAAGAGAAATAAAATTCTCGTATTATTAATTATTCAAATCATCTCTATAAAAAGAGAACATATTGAATTATTTATACACTAAAACTCTTGAAAACCTTAAAATGAAAACCCTAATTGATAACTTAAGCCCTAAAAGCCCAATATACTCTTTTAGAGTCTAAAATACTGACTAAATAAAATGCATAACAAATAGATGCGAAAATACAACAAAATTAGAAAAATCAAAAAACTTTATAGAATATTCTAATTTGCTAGTCAAGATAAAATAAAAGATCACATATTACCTAGCAGGATCCTTCATTAATGAGAAGGATCTTTTTTGACTCTCTACTAATTAATGCAATATAAAATAAGTAAGTCTTTGCCTTTAAGAATCGATCAATACAAAATAGGAAAATGTAAAATAGGAAACTAATTAAAACAAATAAAATCTTATTTAATATCATATAATATCACTCTTAATGCTTCTTGAATCTTCTTAGACCTTCCAAATAGATCTTCATAATTGTTGTTCACGTCTATAAGCATGTATAGGCCTTTTAGACAGCCATTTAGGCTTGAATATAGTTGAATCACGTTATGGAACTCCCATGGTCCATAGCACAATGTATTTGGGTCCCAATTTAAAAGATTATAGCTCCAATGGACTCCTTTATACATATAATTGTGTTGAGTCTTCAACAACATGAAAATTAGCTTCAAATGCTCCTTTTGGTATCTTAGAACATGCTCTTATCTTTCTCAAGATCCAAGTGTTCATACTTTGATGACTTATATGCCATGGTGGTTTTCGGGATGACCTTTCATATGTCACGTTAAGCTCCGTATGTATCTATGTCATCATCTAAGAAATGATCCATGTCTTCCTCCACGTAAGTATTCTCGAGGTATAAATCCCTTGGTCACTCTAGAGGACTTGTTGGGCTTTTAATTAAAGGAGTGCTATTTGGACTTTATGACCTTCATATTCAACGACTCCTGGTATGCTATCATAACGACTATAATTTTGCCATTGACTACTTTTGCTTTTAAAGTTCCGAGAACTACTTTTATATAACTATTAATTGCACAAGAGTAAGGAAATAACTAAGCAAAAGTAGTTACTAGATTTTCAACAACACTTAATACATTTTTAAAATTTTTCAAACAAAAGTAGTCAATACTGAAACTAGAGTCAATTACAATACTAGAGTGGTTAATAGCTAAATAAGATTAGTCATCAAAGTTCTAAAAACAAATGTAGTGAATAGTTAAATAAGAGTAATCAATAGATAAAAAAGAGTAGTCATTGGAGTTCCAGTTGTAAAACCCTTTATCCTTAAACATCAATACTTTTCATAAGACCACTACTATGGTAGAAAAAGGAAAGATGTACAACAACTACCATAGTAGAAAGAAATTGCATAATTTTAGAAAATTAACATTTAAAACTTGGTTCCATCTCAAATGCAGTTGCATGCAACTATCATCATTCAATCACAATCACTGGGCCTCCGAGCCTCCGGCCCGGGTAACGACATACATCAAAATCAGCCCATCCCAATAGATCTCAACCACGAATAACAAAGTTTCATAAAATAATAGGAATGGCCTCCGGCCAACAAAACGAGTAGATAATATATTCTCCAGTTTACAAAATCAATAAAAAGGGGCCTCCGGCCCAATTGAAATAAGAAGAAGATACACTTCCTCCAGTTTACGAATAAACCGGGCAATCAAAATAGTTTAAAAGGACCCTAAACGTGGCAATATACAACTATCCATACATAATTAAAGCTAGAGGCCTAAAGCTAACCAAGCTCAAGCCTCTGCGTCTCTTCCCGAAGGCGCACGCCTAGAACCTTCACCTGAAAATATTGTAAACCACGGGGTGAGACAAAGTCCCAGTAACCAACCTTTCCAATACTAGGTACTACTAAATAGGTGCTCGTGAGGTGTCAAGTGGGGCAGTTCACAAATTATATATATATATATTGATAGCCACAACAATTCATGCAAGTGCAATGATGCAATCCCATCAATCAAATCCCTCACTTTGGGGGATTTTCAGGAGCCGAACCCGGCCTATCTCTCACTATGGGGGACGTAAGGAGCCATAAAGGCCTATCCCTCACTCTGGGGGACGTAATGAGCCCGAAGGCCTATCCCTCACTATGGGGGACGTAAAGAGCCAACCATCATGCATTAATGGAGGCCTTACCACGTGGTAGTAACTATCAAACTCTCACCAAATCCCAAATTATGCATCATGCTCAAATCATAATCAAGAGTAACAATCATTTCACAATAAACCTCATTCAGTGGCATATCTTTCACAATTCCAAAATTCATTCATCATAAATCAAAACCCCACAAGACGGTTTTCCCTTTTTATATACAACATATAGTTTGAACACAATTACTATTTGGAGCACAAAACACAAATCTACTCACAATACCACATAAGCAAGTACTAAGGATTGGAAAGTGGTTACCTCTCGCCTGAGCAAGGAATAACAACCAACAAAGTGGCCCCGCGCACCACCAAGACTCACAACCGGTCTACACAAGCACACAAACGCACAACCAACATATATTAGCTCTCAAACTAATAATGTGGCCAAAACAACACTTGGGGACATAAAATTCCTATCTCCCATCAAAACTCTACCCAACTCAAAGGGTATAACTAACAAAACAACACTCCAAAGTCCTCAAAGTCTATTAAAACATCAAGTCTCCTTCCAAGCATCAATTAGAGTTCAAACCTCAAGGATCCACTATAGGAATTCAACCTCCAACATCCCATTTGAGCAATTAAGGTTCCAACAACAATTCTAAACCGATTAAACCTCCAATTTAACCCTCCTTAACATAACCCAATTCACAAAACTCAAAATCAATCTCTACATTATCATCCTCAATCCCCAATCATCCAATTCCATAAACCCTAACTCCAAAACTCAAGATTCTTTAAATCTAAGAAAACTACACCGATTAAATACTTAAGCTAACCCAATTCAATCAATTAAACTCAAAACAATCGGTCAAAAACCTCAATTCCATCACAACCTAGAAAATCCTAGGGTTCTACCAAAAATCCTCATAAATTCCATGGAATTTCAAGAAAGAAAGAAGATTAGAGGTTAAAATCACTTACTTGAGGTAATGGATCCTTAGAAATGTCTTTCCCAAGCCTCAAAACCGAAACCCTAGCAGAGCTTCTCTCTCCTCCTTTAGATTTTCTAATTTTCGCAACACTGAACCCTCCAGCGACTATATAGAATCGCGACCTTTCGCCGCGGCGAACTAATCCCGAGAGGGATTACTCGCCTGAAAAACCGACTTCGCCGCGGCGAAAGCTTCCCGAGAGGAAACTCTCGCTCGCCCAGAAGAACTTCGCCGCGGCGTGCCCTTACCTTCGCCGCGGCGAAACCTTCCCGAAAGGGAAGCCTCGCTCACCAGAACAACTTCGCCGCGGCGTCCCCTAGATTTCGCCGCGGCCAAACCTTCCCGGAAGGCACTCCCCTCTGAAACTCCCGGTGCGCCGCGGCGAAGTTTACTTCGCCGCGGCGAACATACCCTGAGAGGGGTACGTTCACCTATGCCTCCAACCAACCTCAAATCCAACCCAAATACCAAGATCAAGATTAAATCACTAATCTATCCTCAAAATCAACCCAAAAGAGGCTATTAAAACCCGATAAGACTTAGGATGTTACACCAGTAACATATCATCGAAGCTCTGGCAGCCAGTCACTGGCGTTAGAGCTTTAGTGACCGGAAATTGGCCAAGGATGTTAAGGTGGCAATTTGTCAACAACAAAAAAGAAAAATAATGAAGGACATTAGCCTCATTTCACAAGATTTAAAAATTCCAAAATAGTATAAAAAGTCTTATTTGACATTTCAAAATTCACCCATATTGATTCGTTATTTAGCAATTTTTAGGGTATATATATTGTATTTTTTCCTAGATAGATTATTGAGTTCACCCTAATGAAAAGAATCACAATCATACTTACTTTTCTTTTCCGCTGAACTGATCAATGATTAACATTTCTTTTTATCAGAATTATAATGAGGTCTTAAGGAAGAAAAATAATTACAAAATAAACCCTAAAAATTGTCATTTTCTACTTTTGAACTTATTACCACATGCTGCTTAGGTTGTTATTGGGATTTTTTAGTAATTATTTTTCTTGCTTGAAATCTCATTATAATTCTCTTTTTTTTTTTTTTTACCAAGATGAATAATGACATTCTTAGCGTGGAAGGTGAGGGCTGAAATTAAAGCCGTTTCGCCCAGAAAGTTCATAAAACAAAGTGAAAAAGGAGACTGTTAATTGGTTCTTGCACAATGCATACTTCTAGTGAAGGCATCAGCTTTCATAGTATAGGCACATCATTGAGTGAACTAGTGAAGGCAAAAGGAAACTGAAGGAAGACGGCACAAACACAAGTGCTTACATATATACACATTAATGAGACAATGATTCTATGAGATTACCATAATCCACAACATCACGTCGAGGTCGAAAACACCAATCATAATTCAACAACTGAGATGTAGTATTAGTAGGAACTGGATACTCAGGAATTGAGATGGTTTCAATGAACTGCCCATCCATGGAAAAGACCTCGCATTTTGGATAACAACTGCTGAGACGATAGAAACAGTTGCTTCGAAATCCCCACCTAGCTGGATTACTCAATGCATAACACTTTGGATTGCACTTAACTGAAAATAACGAACGATCTCCCAATGTTCTGAGCTTGATCCAAGTCCTTGCAGAGAAATCTATCATGTAAATTTCAAAACGTGGATACGGAAGATGGTTAACCACTAGAAGCTGATCATCATTTGAGTTAACTAACTTGAGTAACCCATAATTCTCAGGGTTGTTCATCAGATTCAGAAATCTCAATCCTTGAGGCTCTAACATGACTACTCCTATTTCAGCATCTCTAGTAATGGCATATATAGTTTTGTGAAAAACTACCACATCATCCACGTTGAAACGATCCCCATTATCCCTTGAAGAATAAATAGCCGGATTTCGGACTCGAGATTGATACACAAGCATATTGGATTCATTGAATTCATGATCATTCAAGATCACAACGATAAACTCTTCTGATGATGATGATGAGTTTGCCACAATGGCTTTTTTAAAAGAACTATTTTTAACACTAAATAGATCGTCTTGCTTTGGGATTTCTATCCTCTTTCTTGCAAAAGGGTTTATGAGTAGTAAATCTGGTTTATCACCTACCATTATCATATATCCACTAGAAAATCTTGCAAAGGAGAACCCATTAAAGCAGGAAAGCGAAGTATCGAACGTTCTTGCTTCAGGTATGCTATAGAAAGAACATGATCTTTCAGCATTAGGTGTCTTTTGAACAATCAATGGGGAATCAGACGCCATGAAATCGGACCAATAATCTGAGGTCATCTTCCAATGCTTGCAGACTTTCCGAAAAGAAAATAGGTCATCAATATCAAATTTCTCGATAATTAAGTACAGCACATCTGAAGGAAGTTCTTTTGGAGACTCCTCCTCCTTTTGCTTTTCCTTTTCCATCACCTTTCCTGGTTATCAGGAGGTGGTACGAAATTAATCAATGATGGTGCAAAATAATAATATCTAATTGATGTTCATGAAGTCTAAATAATAATAATGATCAAGTCATGAACTTGAAGATCAAGTTCGTAAAGAAGGTGGACATCTTGGACTCTAAGAGAAGGAGGGGGGAAAAAATAAAACAAGACATCTCATGGGTACGACTTACCAAATTATCAATTTTTTCACTTTGACTACTCAAAATTAACATATCCACATGCATAGATAGATTATACTGAGTTCACCCTCCAAAGCAGAAATTTGAATAATTAATGACAAAAACCACAATCATACTTGCTTTTCTCTGCTGGAGGAGAGATCACTACGGAAATGGTTGGTGAAGAAGATGATGGTTGAAATCGAAGCTGTTTGGCACAGAAAGTTAACAAAGTGAAAATTGAGAGCGTTAATTTATTGTTGCTTAATCCATAGTTCTCTTTATATAGTGTACTGAATAGATGATATTGGGAAAATCCCAATCAAAAAGTCGGATATTCAATCAGATTTTGATAAAGAAAAATTAAATGAGGTAATAAATTACTGATTGAAAATCATTTAGCAAAATACAACTCGGTTGAAATCTATCAAATGCTGTAAAGGTTTAATGAATCTATTGGAAAAAAAAAAAATAGATAAACGTACAGGGAGAATGGATCTGAAAAAGAAAGTTTTTACCAAATACTGAACGTATATTTAACCATGAACACAGGATTGGATCTGGAAAAACAGTGTTACCCACAGCCACTACATCTTAATTCTTAAGCTGAACAGAACGATTGAAAGAATCCCCCGGGGGGGGGGGACTTACTTTAGGTGAGAAGTAAGAAGACGAAGCAGGGAGAATGAAGGGAATGAAGGATTAAGCAACGCTGAGCAACGAACACCCTTGCAGTGAAGAAGTCGTGGAGCCGGAAACAGAAGACGACGCTGGATGCCTGAAAACGGAAGCTCAGAAGCTGAACAACGGAGGTGAGGAGGATTAAAAGAGATACGATTAAGCTGGGAAGCTCAGAATGCCGTCGAATTCAGTTAGGGGTGTTTGTATTACCCAGAATCCAGTTAAGCATTTTCGAGATAAACTCCTCTATATATTTACTTCTTATATGATAAAAGTACTTCTGAAACAATAATTTTTTGTTTTTATCCAAACACCCTTTAAAGCCTGTTTGGTTTGAGGGGAGCATAAGGGAGGGAGGGGAGGGTGGGGTAAGAAAGGAGAGGAGAGGTTTTATCTTTATCTTATTTGATTTGATTGAGAAAGAAGAGAGGGAAGAATATTTAATGATTTCTTGTTTGGTTCAAAAAGAAAAAGAAAGGGATAGTAATAAATAATTTACTATTTTACCCTTACATATTAATTTATATTTTTTATTGATATATTATATAAATTAATTTACATCTTAATTTAAATTATATAATTTAATGAAAATTCGATATTATTATGTTAATATATAGATTAAAAAATTGATACAGTGATTTTTTTTCTAATTAATATAATAACATATTTGAAATAATTAAATTAACAAATTTTATATACTCTAAGAAAAATGAAATTTTATTCTTTTTAGGTTATCTTTTTTTCAGCTTTAAAATATATTTAATAAATGATATGTTTATAAAAAATTAATTTTATAATGTTATAATTTTTTTATTTAAATAATTTTTATTTTTAATTAATTTTTGTTATAATATATTTTTTAATATAATAATTTATATTTTTTATTTTTTACTTAGGATAATATATTTTTTATTTAAATAAATATTATAATAATATATTTTATGAGTAGTAGTGAAATATTAAAAAAACTATATAGGTATGATGGTCCAAAATTTTAGCTTCCCTCTAAAAACCTTTAATTTGGGAGAAGCTAAAGTGGGAGGAAGGGACATTTTGGCTTCTCTTCCTTTCAAAATTTTTAACCAAATGGAGGAGAGAGATAGTAATAATCAATTTACCATTTTACTCTTACATTTTAGTTTATATCTTTTATTGATAAATTATATAAATTAAATTAAATCTTAATTTAAATCATATGATTTAATAAAAATTCAGTCTTACCATGTTAATATGTACATTAAAAAATTGGTACAGTATTTTTTTAAATTCTAATTAATATAATAATATATTTGAAATAATCAAATTAACAAATTTTATATGCTTTAAAAAATTGAAATTTTATTCTCTTTAGACTATGCTTTTCTTCAACTTTAAAATATATTTAATAAATAATATATTTATAGAAAACAATTAATTTTATAATATTATAATTTTTTATTTAAATAAATTTTTTTATTTTTATAATAATTTATATTAATTTTTATTATAATATATTTTTTAATTATAATAGTTTATATTTTTTATTTAAAATAAATATTATAATAATATATTTTATGGGTGGTAGTGAAATACCAAAAAAATCATAAGAGTATAATGATATAAAAATTTAGCTCCCCTCCAAAGATCCCAAATTTAGAGGTTTAAAATGAAGGGGGGAGGGGACGGGACATTTTGACTTCCCTCACTTCTAAAATTTTTAACTAAATGAGGGGAGGGAAGCCAAAATGTTCCCTCCCCTCCAACCAAACACACCCTTAAAATCAGAAAGATCGAATGGAGAAGGAGAGAAATAAGAAACAACGGAGACCAAAATGGTCGCAAATTTAGCGTTGAGAGCCTCAAAACCCTTCCATTAAGCCTCAATTTATATATAACCCACAACAATTTTTTCTTGAAAAAAAAAATACGCCGGCCTAACTTCATGGAAAATTTCTGGGCCGCCACCTTAAGTATTTGATTGGAACAGCAACTACAACTATAATACAAGGTAGACGGAAGAGAAATTTTCTTAAATTTACAAGAACAATTAAATAGCGATTTTCAAGATCCAGTAAAGAAGGTGACATAAAAATTTTCTCCAAGAGTCCTTATTCATGTTTTGCCTCTTCAATATGAAAATTTATCTTTAATCATATGAAAACTAGGGGTCCTCAAGTGTGAACCCATCCTAGCTGTCCCGTACCTGTCCTGGAGGTTTTGGGACGAGACAGTCTCGTCCCAAATGAGGCCAGGACGGGACGAGACTTGGGATAACCTTCGGGACGTCCTGGCCTGTCCCCCTTTTTTTTTTTTTTAATTTTTTTAATAGTTTTGTTGTTATTAAGTATTAACTTATCTAAATTTTGAAGCCAAAGAGTGAGAGAGGTAGAGAACCCGACCCCAAGTGCCAAGTCCTCAGTGTTCCATGCTTCTGTCCAATTCCCAAATTCCCAAACCCTCTTCCTTCAGAGTCCTAACCTCCACAGCTCCATTGACCACTACTGTGCCTTCCCCCTCCAACCTCCAGAACTCAGAGGTCGCTCGCTCACCATCACTCACCGTCAGGTGTCACTGGCTTCCCCTACTTCATCTTCTCCTAAATCCTAAACTCGTCAGTGTTGGCTTTTGAATTAGTGAATTTGAGCATCTCGCCTCTCTCTCTCGGCTTCGAATCTAAGCTTCTCGCCTCGTGCTCCATGGGTTGTGCCACCGTTGATTGATTGCAGGCTCACAGGTCGCAGGTGATGTCGTCGCTTGCTCCGTTGATTGCTCTTTGTTCCTTCATCATCCTTCCCATTACAGTAGCCAACAAGTAAGTTTGTTCTCCAATCTCCTTCCCTTCATCATCCCCATTCCCTGATCCCACCTGCTTCAATGGTTGCCTTATTGCTGTTTGGCGTCAGCTCATCTCCAAGCTTCAATCCCCTTGCATTGTGCTGCTTCTTTGTTCCTTGACTTTACATGTAAACCATTAGGAGTTCAAAAAATAATAAAAATCTTGATTCTGAAATTTATTAGTAGGCGTTCTTTGATTGACTCTACTGCTTAAAAATTGAAGCGTGGGTTCACTATGTTTGAAAATTGGGTCTCTAATCTGTTCAAATCATTTTAAATGCTTTGATGCTGCTTGCTTTGTTTAATTTGTTCCTTGACTAATTGACTTTAAAAAGACCGAAGATGGCCACTCCCACTACTGAAAAAAATTTGTTTAATCGATGCTGTTGAATCAATACTTTAGTTAATTTGTTTAAATTGGGTCCTGATCTGTTCATTAATTGATGCTGCTTAATCTATTTACTTTGTTCAATGCTGCTTAATCTGCTTAGAAAGATTGAAGATGGCCCCTCCCACTACTGAAAAAAAACATTACAAATGTTGAAGGAGATTCTAACGCTGAAAGCAATGATTTAGCATCAATGTCTAACGAAGAAGCAACATAAACATAGACCCAATAGATTTAGTTAGATTGAGTTATTTTAATTTGCTTTAGGTGGTTGTTAACTTGTTATTATGTGTTTTGAAGCTGAAAATTTGCTTCAGATATCACTAGTAAAGGGATTGTAATTCGTGTGTTTTTAAAGTGTTTGGAGTTAGCATTGAACAAAAACTTCATAGGCCCAATAGATTTAGTTCAGCCCAATTTGCTCCCTTTGGGTACTAGCAAGAGCTAAAGGTGTTGGGCCAGCCGAATTTGAAGCACTACCCACAGTGCCTTCCTCATGCGGGACGAAACCCAGGACGCAAAATGGCTTCTGACTAGTAAATCGGGACGGGACGCGGGACAGGCTTGTCTGGGTTCCGTCCCGTCCCGTTCTGTGTGCAGGCCTAATGAAAACTCTCCTATTCAAAAATGTGGAACTGTTCATGAATTCATGGATGTCCTGAAAAAGTTTTGTTCAAGTCATGCTTTTTCTATTTCTTTTAATTTTGATTCAAACGCTAATTTTTCATAGTGGTTTACATTGATTTTTTTTTTTTTGTTTCTTTTTTGTTTCCTCATTTGGGTTTGGAGTTAACAATTTTTTAAAGCAAATTATGCATTTTATCAAAGCATTGTGCAGAGTAATACTGGTTAAAAAAGAAACATGGTGTAATAGTTTGTTATTTTCGTAATACCTCTTTTACTTTTTACCCCTGAAAACGGTGTTTAAACGCTCTGCTATGCATCACAGTTTGTCTCCAGACTTGAAGAAAGAAATAAAAACACCAGGCCGCGTTTTATTTTTTTTCTTTTTAAAGAAAAGTTGTCAAACGTTGCGTTTTATAAAAGTGGAGGCTCAATAGAAAGGCTTTTCGATGGAAAGATTCTGCTTGACTCAGAGAGGGAGTACAGTGAGACCAATGGTTGCGTTTGCAGGAAGTATTATTGAAAATGAGAAATTGAGATTTGGATTGCAGTTGAAAAATTTTATTAAAAGAGTATTTAATACAAGAGATTACTTGTTATATAAGATTAGTTAAATCCATGTAATTAAAAAAAATCATTAAAATAGTATTTAGCACAAATAATTGTTTATTATATGGAATTAGCCAAACCCATGTATGTGGTCATGGTAACCATGATTTTAATGATTTTTTTCAATTACAATTCTAATCCCAATTCTTTATTTTTGATACTTCATACCAAACGAAACCAATGAGCTGTGAGGCGGAGGACGAGTGACGGAGTGAGCAAAAAGATAATAAGGAAATTAATTTAAAATTAACTAATATTAATTTAAAGATATTTGATGAAAATCAATTCCGAGTGAAAACGTGATGGACAAAGAAACATTTATGACTTGTGTTATCTATGAATTATATATATGAGTTTTAATATAAAAAAACATTGCTAATTTAGGGATTTGTTAAAAGTGTGGGTTTGAATTTACATATCAGTTGGATTCAATTTGATTTTTAAAAATAATTTTAATCCTTTCTCTCTCTTAAATTATCCACATGGCCATATAATAATCTTTTTGAATTTGACTGTGTTAATTATAATTCCATTAAATATTTAACTTACAATATGATTTGGCTTAAACTTATGGCATACTTAATGTGTGCTTTTTATATTTACATGTTTGGCTGGTGAGATCTCCTAACCATGGTTTTGTATCCTAAACCATGATTTTGGTTTCTACCCAGATAACATAACAACTTTTAGGAAGTGATTAATGAACCGTATTAAACTAGACATTCTCAAATATCATACTATTAATTGGACTCGTTAGTGGCTCTATTGGGACCCAAAAAAAACATTTTCATGGTTGAGCTACCATTGAGCGGAATGGAGAATTAAATTGAGAAACGAAATGATATTTACATAATTGGAAGATTTTGAGCTTTTAATGAAAAAAATGCTAAAAAATTAAAATTAAAAATCCCATAAAAGAAAAAATTTTGAACCAAAACTCAATATTTAAATATATTTAGACCCCATCAAAACCGATATCATTTTTATATCGATCCCATAATGTTCATGTGGTTGTGAAATCACATAATGTTCCTCATCATTTCCTTGTTTCTTGTTCCTCATCCTAGATTGAACATCATGAGTTCTGCCTCTTGGACATTTTTCTTATAGTGAGACCTTAATGTATGCTTTGATATGCACCAGAGTTCTGTTCTTTTGTTTTGTGTCTTTTTTAATCATAACCCAATACAGGATATAGATTAATTATACTATTTTCAATATTTAACATGAGATCTATTTAATTAATTTGAATAGATTAAAAAAATTAATTAAATTAATTATTTGTAAAAAATAACATTAGTTTCTCTAAAATGTCTTCTTAAATCATTTGCATTAATTAAAACTATTCTTTAATGCAAACTTCATTAGTATGTGCAATTTGAAAAAAAATGATAAGTATAGATAACAAAATGAATTCAGATTTTATATTTACAACAAAACTTAACTTCCAATTAGTTCTTATATTATAGATCAAAGATGATAATAAATACTACATCCGGTCCTAATTATAAGATTTTTTTTTGTAAACTACAAATAAGATCTTATAATTAGGACTAGAGATTGAAAGGTCTTACTTCACTTAATAATATCTATAGTTTTAATAATACCATGAGGAACATAAACAATTTGGAATTCCCCAAATAGGCAAATACACAGCTTGAATGCTTCTGTATTCTGATTATAGCCATTTCACTTCACCAACAGGAGATCCTATAACATCCCTAGCAGCGGCAGTATTTCTAGAAGTCCTTATTGCCAGTTTGTGAAGAACCAAGCTACCACCTCCTGTCTTTAATACTACCTCCGGTCCTAATTATAAGACCCGGTTAACTAATTTGAGGAGATTAAGAAAAGAAGTTAAGTTAGTTATTTGTAATAGATAGATAGTGTTTTTCTAAAATATCCTTGCTAATCAACTATATTGGCTAGGACTACAATTATTAAAGGGACTATCTTGGAAAAAAAATACATAAATATGAAAGACAAAGTGGATTGGAGTTTTATAATTAAGACCAAAATAAAAGTCAAATAAGGTCTTATATTAAGGACCGGAGGTAGTATAAGATTTTATTTGACTTTTGTTTTAATCCTAAATATAAAATCTCAATCCACTATCTCTTATATTTATTTTTTCGCAAGATAGTCTTTTTAACAATGATAGTTCTAGTCAATATACTTGATTAGTAATGATATTTTAAAAAAAACACCATCTATTTATTACAAATAACTAAATTTCTTTCTTTAATCTTATCAAATTAGTCAACTAACTCTTGTAATTAGAACCGGAGATAGTACACTGCAAGAAAAGATGTTTCGTGCATTCAATAGAATAGTCACCACCATAAATAAAATAGTCCCTCCGTTTATGACACCTCGAACATTAATTCTTATACAAGGCCCATTGCAAACCTTGATAAAACATTTATAACTCATTTTAAAAAATGTCCATCTCTTCACTCAGTCTCAGTCACAGATAGAAATTAGCATCTAAAAGGTCACAGTTCATTTTGAGATGCAAAGAATTATTACAACACAAATCAACGTCAGGGCTTGCAGAACCATTGCATCATGCCTGGTGAAGAACATAGAAGAGTTTTATTTATTTATTTTGGCGGGGGGAAACCGCAAGAGATGTGATATTATCTTAGTTAAGACGAAGATAAGGCATCATCAAATTTGTGACATAAAACAACTAGAAATTAAGCAAGAACACTTGGAAATACGAAGTGTTCAGGTGAAAAAGGAAAAACAAAGAAATACGAAGGGCAAGTATTCCTACAACATGATATTGTACGTGGCAAAGCCTCCATCATAAAGCTATTTATTAAGGTCCAAACAACTAGGCTTGCAATTAATTTAGGAACATATAATATTAAAAAAAAATACAGTACAAGCGTTTATTCGTCATATCTTACATGTGCAAGTTACGAAGAGCTGAACAATTAATTTTCTACCGGCAACGGTCAACCCAGAAGCCAATGAAGTGATACATTCTGCTTCAAGCATAAGGCCCACTTCGATCTCCATTTAGCATCAAAGCTAACCTCTTTTGGTTGCAGCAAACTTGAATTGAAGCATAATCTAAAGGTGCATCATCCGCCATCATATGACCCAATATAAAAAGCAAAGATCAAAATCCCAGTGATTCAAATGGGGTAAAACCCAAATGCAGTCAGAACATAGCAAGTTCGAAAAAGAAAAGCGACCCAAGCTCAGATTTTGTGAGATTTCAAACCAATGAAGATAAAAAAGGATGATAACTATATATATGAGAACTGAAGCTAGATGTACTATGCCTCTAGAGCCTTCTAATTTTAAAAAAGTGACCCCAACCCAACATACTCTACAGGCAAAGCACCAGGCCTCTTCTCCGTCGAAGTTATGAACTCTGGTGGAAGATGAAGCTCCATCGGCTCAAGAAGGATGAGGTAGGAAGGTAGAAAGTTCAATTGTAGAGGAGGGATTTGAGAGGGGCAAGATGGTCTTTTTACTTCTCCCAGGAGAAATGGTCCATTCCATTGAGCAGAGGGAAGGCAGATTCCTACAACTGCAAGGAAGGTCGATGGAAATCTGGGAAACATATACCTAAATTACTCCATTTTTTCCTCTCCCATTCTCCTTTATCTCCGTGCATACCAAACGCAGACTAAGGAAAACCAAATGGCCAAATCATAGTCAAAATGCTTGATATAAAAAAACTTAATTACTAATATAAGTAAACAGCCCTCACATACATAATACCGTGGTGGTAAAAGAACAAAAAAAAATATTAGTGTTTATAATAAGAACACTGATGTAGTACCGATAGAATTAAAGGCACGGGAAAAAAAGAAATAGTAAAAATTTTATTCCCCATGCCCCCTAGAAAGTTACGACTAAACACATGCAGAGAACAATAAAGTAAATGGTAATGAAGACATAATTAAACAGATGGTTTTATTTGTAATTTACAAATGATTACCTGCCACCATCGACCATATCACTCCAGATTCTCTTTTCCCTTTCTTAATCATTCGCCATTAGGAAGAGTAATGATCTTTACCTTGCTTGACAACCAAAATCAGCTTGTAGAACAAAGAGCAAATGCCTGGCAAGTGGCACATCCAAATGCAATGGAGAAGTAGAAAATTCCCCAGTCATCCAGCATAAATTCCTCTTGACGCTCCCATTATCAAATGGCCATACTAATTTAGCTTCTAGATCAACTACAAAGCTATAGATTTAGCACATAGCCCCAAAAATGTCCAGAAGCAACCCACAATTGACAATAAAATTTTGTTGCATGCACCTTCATAAAGGGCTAACAACCCAGCCAGTGATAGGATTTTGCCTGCGAACTCTAAACTTCCTGTGCCCACCACTTTGCAACCGTTCAAGAACTGCATAAGTAATTGAATCTGGGGTCAATCCTTGCTGCTTAAGTTTTGCATAAAGTTCCACAGCCTCGGCAGTTCTCCCACCCCTTTCAAGACAGTCAAGTAAGATATTATACGTGACAATATTAGGAGAGCATCCTTTAGCAAGCATTTCATCAAACAATCTACTAGCCATCTCAACTTTATCTGTCTTGCCAAAGCATTCAATAAGTGTGCTATAAGTGACAACATCCGGATTTAATCCTTTCTCTTGCATCTCTATAAACCTCATGTGAGCTTCATCAAGATCCCCATTTTTACCAAGGCAATTAATCAAGCAGTTATAAGAGATAACATCAGGTTTACAAGTGCTAGTCTCCAGTTCCTCAAAAATTTTAATAGCATCATCAATTCTTCCAGCCCTTCCAAAGCTGGCAATCAGGATATTGTAGGTAAATATATCAGGCAGAGGTCCATCTTGTTTCATCTTTTCAAAAAGATCATGAATGTGTGATATTTGTTTCAATTTTCCAAGAGCTGTGAATACCGTGTTATACATTATTGTATCAGTACTGATGCCCTTTTCATGAATTTTATTTAGAAGCTCTATAGCCTCCATTGTTTTACCAGAGCAGCATAGACTCTCCAACATGGCCATACAAGCATTCTTGTCACCCTCATTAAAAAAGCTCCACATGTTGCAAAATATCCTGTGAGCCTCACTTAAATGGCCCAATTCGCATAGAGTCTTTACAAGATATGCATATATTTTCCTATTCAGATATTTCTTCGATAACTTCAAAACAGTGTCAAGTTTACTTAGTTGCCCTTCAGCAATTAGAACATTCAAAAGCACACTGTATGTGAATTCATTGGGCTGACAATCATTCTCCATCATTTTTGAGAAGAGTTGGATGGCCCTGTCAACCATCCGGCCCTTAGCAAGTGCCTGAATCATAGTGTTATAAGCAATCAAATGAAGAGTGCAACCCTTATTCAACATTTCCTGAAAAAGGGCTATTGACTCATTAGTTTTACCAATTTTGCCGGTCATTCTGATCATAATGGTGTATGTGAACATATCAGGCTCACAATGCTTCCGTTTCATGTCTTCAAATATCTTGTATGCTTGGTTCACCTGCCAAAGAATCACATATCAAAGAATCAGGATTAATGTAATATGTATTTTGAAAATAACTTCAAGATCCGTAGAACTGAATTACTTGTCCATCAATTCAATGCGGCAAATCTTTGACAACCCTAAAACTGTTGAGATGACATACCCATTTAATTTTCAAACAAGTAATTCAAACCATTGAGCAAATAATTCAAATTTCCATGACAAAACTACACAGATGAGAGCATGGTATAATGTACAATCTGAATTCTGGCTACGAACAGATAATGCTAAATTCAAACCTTCTCATCCTTGACCAAAGCATCCAAAAGCATGTTATATGCAAAAATGTCCAACTTATAACCACGCCGTTGCATGTCCATATATACATCTAAAGCCTTGCCTGAATCATAGGACCTCAAGTATGCCTGAAGCAAACATTTGTAAGTGTAGGCATTCAGTCTTAAATCCCATTTCTTCACCAATCCAAGACACCTCTCTAAGTCCTCACCAGTTCCAAAGAACCCAATCAAGATATTGATGGTAGAGATGGAGCCACGTACTCCATGTTGAAGCATATCATCAATGATTGAACGGGCCTGATCAAAACGGTGAGGTGAGGTTGACTTTGAGAGGATGAGGAAGAGACGGTTGTAGGTGAAGGACTCATGACGGAAATTTGGGTAAAGGGAAGAGCAAAACTGGAAAAACCTCAAGGCAAGTGAAGGGGTTTTCAATGCTTTGAGAATTTCAGATGCTTCCAAGGGGGTGAGAGTTATAGAGAGTGAGTGTAGGTAATCAGAGAGATCTGAAAAAGGGTCATCAAAAGATAGAGTTGTGGATGTGGATTGTGGGAGCTGACGAAGGAGAATTTTTGTTGCTTTACAAATTAGGTCATAACGAGGAAGTAGATACCCTCTATTGTCAACTGAAAGTGGTGGCGGCCCAGTAACCTCAGCGGCAAGAGACCGACCTGTTGAAGAGGTGGAGGTGATCTTTGCTGTGTACCTAGTGGCAAAGTGGCGGAGTCTGAGTCGTATCACTTGATGGAGATGAACACGTGGTATATAGTGTTGATGAAGCAAAATCGATGTATATCTAGCTAAAAGCTTATTCATTATTCTTCATGTCAATAACCTGATAAAATAAGGAAAAAAGGTAATAAATCAATAAATCAATAATGAAAAGGAGAAATATATTTATTAAATAAACATATTAAAAATTAATTATTCTTATAAACACGTGTAGTCCTCAGTTGTCACTAATATATAATCTTTCAATAGCGCAATGTCCCATATCACCGTGGACATTTCAGATTGCCAGGAGGAATCAATGGGTTGGGACATTGCATTAACTTCGTCAGCTAATACAAAAATATACTCATGTACCACAAGATGAAACCTGAGAATTCCATTAACCAATTACTTCTTTATGTCTGGTAGAGCTTACATATATTGGAAGAAATTAACCCAGAGGAATGGATCCAGAAATAGTACATTTAAAGATCTCTTGTTCTTGTCATTTGAGATGAGCTTCAAGCTAATGGTTTTTATAATTTTGCACCAGCTTATAAGTTGAAAATTTTGATAAACTTGAATATACACTAAATAACAAATTAAGCACAAAGGGTAAGTCCACGACTTCATTCCATAGCAATTGCTATTAGCAGACATCTGACTATAAAGACTTAAAAGGACCTGTTTGGTCGGGCAAAGGGTAAGTCCACGACTTCATTCCGAGCAATTGCTATCAGCAGACATCTGACTAGAAAGACATGAAGAACCTGTTTGGTTGGGCAAAATTTTAGAGCATGAAATGGAAACCAGCCTCCTTTTCTGGGCTCACATGTTTGGTAACAAGAAAAGGAGAGAACAGTACAGCATCCAAGGAATAATGCTTCCTTCAAAACAGGGAGCGAAGTTTTATGCCAGGTGTGGGGAGGAAGTGACGGAGGTGAATTTACGGGACCATCGATGAAGAACCAAAACAGGTTGATAAAGTCGTATTGGCACCGGATTTACACAGAAGTGAAACAGAATGAAAATTTGCTTGCATACATTTAGCCTCGTCATATTCAGATGTATTGATAAAGAGAAGTTCATTATTCTCAGCATTTTCATACATTGAAAAATTATTTGGAGAGAAGCATGATATATTTGCAGTTTTTGCACAACCTAACATCAGCAAATAGTCCACACTAACTATCTTTGCTCCTCACAAATGTAATGCAGCCAAAGAGAACAACTATAATTATTTGCAAAGAAGCATAATAGATATAGGCATGGAATCCAAAGCTTGAAGGAAAAATTTTCACCCTCCAATGCAGTCAAACACCATTTTCTATCACCCCCATCACTGCCGTAACCTTCAGTGCCAATTCCCTCTTCTCTGTCAATTCTCAGTTGATGCTGACATTGTTGCACCGAACTCCCTAATCCTTGACTTTCTCACCTCATTCTTGCCCAAATACCCTTCGCCCAACCAAACAAGTTGTTTAAGTCTTTATAATCAAATGTCTGCTCATAGCAATTTATGTAGAATAAAGTTGAAGTCGTGGACTTACCCTCTGTGCTTAGTTTGTTACTTAGTGTATATCCAAGTTTATCAAAATTTTCAACTTCTTATAAGCTGGTGCAAAATTATATAAAACTATTAGCTTCAAGCTCATCTCAAATGACAAGAACAAGAGATCCTTAACTGTACTGTTTCTGGATCCATTCCCATGGTTTCATTTTTTCCAATATATGTAAGCCCCACCCGATGCATATAGAGTTTGACAACCATTACACTTTGCCTTAATTACCCCATCAACATCAACACTACTAAAATACTTCCAAACATCAGAGGCCAAAGTTCTTGGCTTCTTAGGCTTTGATTCTTCAGTCTCCTGAAGAGAAGGTGACTTACGTTTAGCATTTACAACTAATGATCCATTAGTCCATTGAGTTTTTTCTCTTTGTTGTTGCAAGGAAGATATGATGCTGACAACAATCACAAAAAGTTACAAGTTCAGGTCCTCTTAATGTATAAAAAATAAATAAATAAATTCTCTTCAAAAATAAAATTCTAACTTTAAATTACAGACCAATACACACCCATAGAATTCTGATTTCATTGTATAAAAAAATAAATTCACTTCACAATAGTTCCTCGGGCTTCAATTTAATCCACCAAGTAAGCAGGAATGATTTTTTATACAACTTAAGCTGTTTCTTTTGCCTCAATTCATACATTAGGCTGGTCTGAGTCTTGGTAAGTTTAATTTTTAATCTGGAAAATCATAACAAGGTTTTGATGATTCAGGAGTAGCAAGGATCCATTAACCTTTCAGTCATTCAAACCAATAATATCTGAAGATAGGTTAGTGATTCATCCATTGGACTCACATCCAAAATGATGGAAAGCAAAAAAACAAAAATGAGGACAATGCCAGTTAAGTCTAGCCAGAAAACACGCATGACTTAAAATTCATTGATTGGACGCTTTACAAATTACAATCAATGGCAGGCTAGTGGGAAAAAATCGGTGGAAAATTAAATGCAGAAGAGCCAACCATATCTACTATGCCCATATACAGTTTCAGCAAATCCAATAGCCCATATACAGTTTCAGCGAATCCAAAGTGACTACAGCCAAAAAAGTTGACAAAGACATAGATAAAGAAAATAGCAAAAGAAGAGAAAGGAAGATATGCCAGGAAGAGATCGAGGAGGAGGATGTGGTCGCGGTCGCTGGAGTGCTGGACACTGGTCGACGCCAGCAAGGGGAGAAGGGGAGAGGCCGAGATAGAGAAGAAGAAGCACGGCTTCGCGCTGTGGTTGCTGCTTGGCTCGCTGGTGAAGGCGCCGCGCCGCTGCTGCTCCAGCGCTTTCGGCTGTCGTAAACTCGTTGAAGCAGAGCAAAAAATGACACCGTCGTTGATTGGTGTTTTGATGAATAAAAAATCATAATTTTAAAAATATTTTTATAAGATACGAAGTAAATATATAAAAAATTTATCTCAATTTATTAAAAAATATTCTTAAAAAATACTTATCATGGTTATCAATTACCTTCTAAATTTGATTATTGTATTTAGAACTGAAAAAACAAGTCAAACCCGTTAGGTTAGTCTATTTATGTCTGAAAATTATGAGGATTGGTTTTAAAATTTTTTCCCTTCAAATAAAAAATGAGTTTAAAAGGATTGGCCCCATATGACAGAGGGCTTGAATCCGACAGCCCTAAAACAATTTTTAAAAAAATAAAAAATATCAAATGGTTTAAACAGGCCAACCTCTTTAGGTTTTTTTATAATTTTTTTGTTTTTTAAAATTTTTTTATATAATTATAATATTATTAATTTTTTCCATTATTAATGATATTTTAAATATTTAAGTTACTATTATTATTTTAAAATTAAATTTCATATAATGATTTGATTTATTTGGTTTTAGACAATTATTTTTCTAATTAAATTTTAAACAAAAGTTAATTTGGACTTTAATAATGATTTGATTTATATTATACGTATTGATATTTTAAAACTATATATATTTGATAAGAGAGTATTTTTAAATAACTTGTGATTTTATATTTTGAATTAAAAATTTATGAGTTTTAATAACAATGCTTTTTAAAATAAAGTAAAATAACAGTTAGATTGTAAAATTTAAAAGTGAAATTCTTATAAAGAAGACAAACTTGATATTTTTGCTACGAAAGAAGAACAACTGATTATAGTAATGATGAAGTTTGAAAAAATTAATAATAGTATTTGCTTATTGCACATCTGCACTATTGATGAAACTTTTGAATGTAAGTTTTTTGCTTATGGGTATTTTAGATGTTCTTAGATATTTAGATATCAAGATATTTTGTATTTGTAACTTAATTTTACTTATAGTTATGTCTTTTATTAATAATTTCATTGGTTTTTTTTTTATTTTTTGAAAAAAAATATGAGAAATATGAAAAATAATATATTTTTTCTTAAATGGGCTGAAAGCCACCGACTAGCCTTGAGCCCGTTAGCTTAAGGGCCGGATCTAGTAAATTGAGATTTTTTAAAATTTTAACTTTAGAGGGGAGACCCTTTTAAACCCATTAACTTTGCAGAATCAGTTCTGTAGAGTCGGGTCAGCCTACATTCCCATCTCTAATTGTACCTTACTTTTTTTTTTTTGGACTTACATAAGGTATCCACTGCCGGTAGCAGTGACTAATCCCTTCGCCATAGGGACCTCCACTTAAGAGCAAACAGCTGGTCATGGAGTATTTTCATATCCAAGGGTGGATTCGAACCCCCATCACTTGGTTAAGGGACCAAGTGAAGTTACCACTAGGTCACTACCATGTGGTTATTGTACCTTACTTTTTGTAGCAAGGGTCCTGCTACTATGAAAGTAGCGAAATGCACCTCAACTGAGGGGGGAAAAAATAGCGAAATGCTCCCAAGGTTATCTTACAAATGTACATAAATTTTTAGATAAAATGCGTTAAACATTGTATTTGTTTTTTCACAAGTACATAAATAGCAATAACCATGCAAATTGTTATAAAATTAAAGAAATAGTAGAGAAGAAGAGAATATAATTAGACAGAATAAAAAATAAGAGTATTTCTCATTTTATTCATTGTATTAAATACATGATACATACCCTTTATTTATAGGCATACTTTTACAACTTTAACAAAATCCACAAAGTATATAATAATAAGAGATAACTGTAAAATATAGAGATAATAGGAGATATTGGAGATATAAGATATAAAAGATAATAAAAGATATATAGATGTCTACAAAAATATTATTATATTTATAACACTTCTTATGGGACATTCATTATATATGAACGTGCCTAAATGAAAAAGTTTCAACTAAAAAAACCCTATGGAACAAAAATCTAGTTAAAAAAAAAATAATACACCATTCATTGATACACTAAGTAATCTTATATTATTAAAAAATATTATTAGAAAAATCTAGTAGGATAAAACTATAGATAAGGGGGAAAAAAGTACAACGTGTATCAATTTCTTCTTTTGACAACAAAAGTTGATATCTTAGGGCTTGAAAAAGCTAATATAATGAACAAACAATCCACATATTACGGTGATGTTATAAATATGATGCTATGTGGATGTTCATAACTCCTTAGTCCCTTGGGATTCCTTCTCATAGGTAGTAGCATTATACCTTACAACTCTCAAATTAAAGGGTTTCTAGTATTTATTTCCTATAACCTTCAACTGTACAATTATGTTGCTTAATTCCCTTCTTTATATATTTGTAACTCTTTAGGTTAGTCTTCAATATTTGGGTCCTATAAACAAGGGATGATGTACACACATTTAAGACAATAAAGTGAATGAGAACTCCTTCTTAATTTCTCCTCCAATTTCCTCTTATTTTTCTCCATCTCCCTTATCTCAATGTTTGTACTTTTTTCATTTTTCATAACACGTTATCAGCACGAGTTTGTTCTAAAGATTTGAGGTATAAGTTTTTGTAAATTAATATATTCTATAGTATATGATGATACTTTCTACTAACTTCTATATTACTCAATTATTCTTTTTATCCTATTATCATATGCAATTTTAATTTTCTACACATTTGTTATATATTATGTTGCTCTTTTATGTTAGTTATTAATTTATTCTTTCTATACATTTAAATTCTATTATCTCCCAATTATGATATTGTGTTATTTGCTTTATTTATTTTTCAATACTTCTTGTTTGTTTATTTAAATATATCTGTTTAGTTTATATTATGTCATTTTATATCTATCATAGTATTATATATATAATTATATAATATGATTTATATTTAGGTTTATTTGTTATTTATATTTGATTATGAATTTAAATTTATTTAATTTATTTCATTACAGTATTTTTTTAATTTCATTTTATTGAATGACTAGAAGTCATAATACTCTTGATTTTGTAATTAAATGACCCAAAAGTTATATCACTTTTGTAATGGTTCTTTTGCAAGAGAACACTATGAATATAAATAACATGACAAGAAAAGTCTATGGCACCTAGATGATTTAATAGTGACAAATATCAAAGCCCTAAAGGCTAATGGTTTAAACACCAAATGGAACAAAAGTGTTTTATTTGAAAGACTTTTACTATAGTTTTGAAGACTAATATTTGGAGAAATTGATTATGTGTTATTGAAAGCAAAGAACATGTCTATAAGAGTGATAAAGACCATGACCATACTATATTGATGGAATTAATAATTTAAGGGCAATGATTTTTGGTCTTGGCTATTGAACCATAATTTAGGAGATAGTGATACCTCTATAATAAAAAACAATTACAAGCAAATATTATAATATGACCAGAAATCATATGGACAAATATATGTACCAACCATTGAAAGTAAATGTTAAAATTGGTTATGAAACCAAAATATCAAGAGATATTATGAAAAATATTAAACGTAGTTATGATGCTCAAAGTAATAT